GTCCCCCTGGTCCTCCTGAGAAGCCCCTGACCTCAGATGCATCTCCAGCACCTGCTTGGGCTGACATTCACGGTTCTGAGGCTGGCAAAGGCTTGGGTAGATTCTAGCCAACTCAAAATGCCACTTTGTTTTCTAGAGACACCATTTTCCTGTGTTTTAGACAGGCTTACCCTCTGTTACTGAAAAAAGGTCTGTGTGTGATTCAAGGTCAATTTACTGCACAAAGGACTTGGTTTCCTGTTATCAAGCTTAGACTTTCATCAGAATAAACATCCCCTCGCTGCACGTCCTGTAAAGAAATACAAGTAATACGAACAGAATAGATCATGATGTGCATGTAAAAGAAACTGGTACCTTCTCTTTGCCTACCACATCCCCCTTCTCCCACTGGTAAAGTGTTTTCTCAAAGTCCTCCAGGGCAGGTCTTGGGTGTTTTCTCATAAATCACAGCAACACGTCTTGAACTTTCCTGATCTCTGCCGAAGTCCATGTCTTCTCCACAGCAGAGGCCCCCCTTTCAAAAGGTGCTAAATGCAGAGCTAAATCATTAGCTAACCAGACCAGAAAAGGTCAAGAGGCATGCAAAGGGAAGGCACAGGGAATCATGAGCCCTTCCAAAACAAACGCAAAGTGCACAGGGAACAGCTGTATCATTTCTGTTACAACCCAACCACACCATCGCTGTGTTGAATCCACTGATCACAGCTTGACTATCGTAATTCTTCCTCTTTAACATGTAAACAGAAGACAGTCTGGGAGAGCTGGGCTTGTTCAGCTGGAGAAGAGACGGCTCCAGGGAGACCTTAGAGCAGCTCCAGTGCCTGAAGGGGCTACGGAAAACCTGGAGAGGGGCTTTGGACAAGGGCCTGTCGGGACAGGCCAAGGGGAATGGCTTTAACCTGCCAGAGGGGAGACTGAGCTGAGCTCTGAGGCAGAAGCTCTTCCCTGTGAGGGTGCTGAGGCGCTGGCACAGGGTGCCCAGAGAAGCTGTGGCTGCCCCATCCCTGGCAGTGTTCAAGGCCAGGTTGGACACAGGGGCTTGGAGCAAGCTGCTCCAGTGGAAGGGGTCCCTGCCCGTGGCAGGGGTTGGGACTGGATGAGCTTTAAGGTCCCTTCCAACCCAAACCAGGATGGGATTCTGTGAAACTCCAGAGCAAGGTATTTGGAAGAATCAATTCTGCATTAGAACAGTAGGTCATTGATGCTCCGGGAAATGCCACACAGGCACGTCTGGCACAGATGCCCAGGGCAGTGTTTCCTATGGAAAACTCCTGTGAGGCTCTGGAATCTCAGCCTCCGCTTAAAGGAAAGATATACGTGCCAACCTGCCTTAAATTAGCCTTGGAAACTGGCTATGGAAAATGTGCCAGCTCAGATGCAAACCCCTCTTACTTACCTCGTGATGACAACAAAAGCCTGATGAAATTTTACTCATCCATTAACCAAAAAGCCTTTGCCCAGCGCCACACGTGGGTGGGATTCCAGCAGGGTGACATGATGCTTTTGGCAGGAGGATCTTGGCCCCCAAGGATGGCAGCCCTGCGGCATGAGAAACGCAGGCACTCCAACCACAACCACATACTTCACCTGCTGACTCAAGAGGAAGAATGCAGAACCTACAAGAATGAAAATCCCAGCCAAAATCCTCAGATGTTAATCTCACGGAATGGCTCGTCAGGTAAAGATCAATGATTAGTGACTGGTGACAGTACTGCCTGCTTTCTAATCACATTTATAGCAAGGGATAGCAATGGTATTTCACGGGCATCGCTTCAGAAATCCACTGGAGGAAAAGAATCATAAAATCACAGAACCAACCAGGTTGGAAAAGCCCTTTCAGCTCATCCAGTCCAACCGTTCCCAGCTCTGCCAAGGCCACCACTAACCCATGGCACCGAGGGCCTCATCCACACAGTGTGTGAACACTTACTTACACAGTTTTTGGATGCTTTAAATATGATTGCTCAGCTCATGTGGGCAGTGTTAGAGTGTGACTTGTGTATTGCCACCATGGCAAGAGGCCCCTCCACGCTTCCTTGAAGGCCATGGCAAAACTCAAACTCTCTCTTTTGAAGTGTGAAATGACTTTCATTTCTCCTGCTCCTGCAGGTGTTTCATTTCTTCTCCTCACTCTCCTCCCAGCACCAAAAGCAGCCGCAATCAGATGATTTCCTACACTGCACATGGCAATGGAAATCCCAAAAGAATCCTGTCTGCAGGTGAAAACCCACCACTGACACCTCTCTGTAAGATCACTGCACGGCATCAGGGGCTGGGGTTATTTTCTTGTTGAGGATGGGGTATTTAAGGATGTGGTTGAGACAAAGCATTTTCCGTTTGACTTCAGTTTGACTTTCAGTTTGAAACAGAGCTGCTGCTCTTCTTGTTAAACCCCATCCCAGAATCAGGGAACGATTTTCAGAAGCCTTGCCAACCTGTTTCGGCTCGGCAGGTTGAGGATACCCACACTGCAGCTATCAAAGAACTATCATCAAGATAAAGGAAGAAGGGCTCCCCTTCTCCACCGGTTCTCTGGAGATCACCCTTTCCCCTGAGTGAATGTTCCCAATATTCTGTGTTTTAAAGCTGTTTGTAATCTTAATTGCTGCTGGTATCTCTGGGAGATCAAAGGGAGATGGCTCTGATTCTTTGTATTACTCACTGCTCCATTAGCACAAAGCTCCCATATTCACTTATTTGGGTTTAGGAGGTAACTGTCTCCTTTCACTGCACGCACATCATTACTGTAAGCATTCGGGGCCTTGCCAACTGATGCACAGGGGGAGGAGGAGGAGAATCTTTGAAGAAGGCTGTTCAAACATAATTCAGTCTCTAATTGGCAAGGGACCGTTACTAACGAATTGCTCCTGTTTTATGTCAGTAATGAATCAGGTCGATGATGTGTAACATACATTAAGGCAGTTAATGAGTGTTAACTAGAAATGCGACTGAAAGACAAGAAAAAGGGTTTTTTACCTTTCGCTGGCCAAGCAGAATTGCTAATAAATGAAAGGATATGTGTAAGTGGCTTATGTGATTCCAATCTGCAGTGGAAAGACTTTTCTTAGAATCTGATGGTAACCACAAGTTTGTGGGAAAGAGAAATCAGACGCTTACTGTGGCAGTTCAGCACAAGGTACTTCACTTCTAACCAAGCCTGAAATGAAAATGACTACAAGTCATTACCGTAAAATAGCTGATTAGAAGCCAATGTGAAGTGAGACAGTGAGCCTCTGGCCATAGCTACAGCACCAAGACATCGTGCACTCACCTCTGCTGTGGATTTACTCCGTGGTGTCTGTGTGCACACACTTACTATGTGGTGACCCAAGTTAGCTCATTCACTTTCACTGCGGGACCAGACACTTTGCACCTCCCAGCGTGCACCAAGCAAGCTGCACGCCCCAAAGCCTGCATCTAGGAGAAGGAGCAGCCATAATCCCAGTTTGACTCCTAGACACTATGCAACAACACAACAAGGCCTTGGGTACAAGCAGGAGCCTGTGTGTGAAGGAACAGGGGAGACACACAAGCTAGCAGTGCCAGGGCAGAGCCTTCAGGTCATGGCAGGCCCCGAGCTGCATCTTCCTGTGGATATGCAGGCACAAGAGCAAGTATCATTACAAAATCTGGGCAGAAGGAAGAGTTCTGGTTTGCTTTGGCATGTGAACAAACTGGCTTATTAGGCCACAGGTGCAGAAATGAGAACATGGGACTGAAAGTGAGGATAAAATGGAGAACTCTCATGTTCTACAAGTTTTGTGAAATAGGCATCAATGAAACCTGCCAGCCACTGCTGCTCATTGCAGGGTGACTGGACTAGATGACTTCTGAAGGTCCCTTCCAACTAAATCTCTTCTAGGATTTGAATGATAATCCCCACCTCCTGGTAGCTTTTATCTAGACAAGCAAGGAAAGATCACTGTTTCAGCAGTGGGGAAGGTCTCTGATGTCTGGAGCCACCTTTAAGTGCTGCCACAGCAGAAGACATCACCACATAAATGGCAATAGGGAACCAGTGTGTCAAGCGATAGCACTGGTGGCCGAGGTCCTTCAATTAGATGCCCTGGACACTAAAGGTCAGGTACTTGTGGATGAGCCTAACTGCTTTCTAGGGAGCAATCTGACATACACCACAGAAGAAACACTTCACATCCAAAGCCACTGCTGCTCTTTAAGTCCTGAAGTACCTTTGTGTATGGCTGAAACGTCAGGGATGCTGCTATACCCCAGGTGTGTTGCTCTGCTGTACTCCATGGCTTTTATTTCCCCATCACTGTAACACTTGAACACTTCAGGTGATCAATATCACATTGAGAAGAAGGCTCACTACACTCCCTTCTTCACCACTTCATATTGCAATATCTCCTTTGCAATGTGTACAAAGTAATGCACAGGCTTCCCCTGAACAGTTGATATAAAATGTCCAGTTTAGAGCATTTCAATCCACCCACTCCAATAACAACCACTAGGTCTGGACAGAGTGCCTGCCAAGCAACCTACAACTGTAACTTTTGATGCTGCCCTTCTCCTTACCTGTATTTGCAACCATGAGGTACCTTTATTAGGTTTGAAACGTGGTGTATTGCAACCCAATTTCTATCACCCAACGGTCAAAGCCCCTTGGTGCCTGGCGGGTTGCTGGTTTAGAAACAAGCTGATAATAGAGTCATAGCAACATACTTGCAGAGTCATAAAATGAAACACTGAGCATCAGCAGAAGCTAGGTATAGATTACTTTATCTCTGTATTCAATAGAGATAAAAATCTCTCTTTGAGAACAAAATCTATGCCCCGGAAACAGTAGATAGGATGAAGTTAAGCACAACCTAGTGAACCATGAGACCTGTTGCTTGCTGACATTGATACCTCAGAGTTCATCTTGAAACAGAGCCACTAGCTATTGGTGCCATACTGGCAAAGGACAGTGCAACCACAGAGGAGGAAGTTTAGTCAGTGAGGGGGGAGTGGGGGAGACAGAAACAAGCACACAGACACCGTTCGCATGGAATCATAAATCCTGAACTTTAGAACATCAAACAAGTGCTGTTGGTTGACACTGCCATGACAATTACAGTGCTTGTTGGATTGCTCTTTGCAATCCAAGCTGTCACCAGACAAATAAACATGCAGAAATACAGGGGTATGGGGAAGAGTTAAACATTGGAAGAAAGTGTCTTTACAAGTCAGATGACAACGCAAGCTCACACCTTTCAAAGTATTGTGTGTCAGAACGAACATGATTTCCTGCCTTCCAGAAGCAGCTTCTCTGGTTCACTGACCTTCCTTTTCTTCTTGGGTCCTGTTACCTCTTCCTGGCTAAAGGCAAGGTTCAGGCAGTTTATCTGTAAGAACCATCAGAAACAGTGATCATTCTCACGGTACAGGCTCCTGCTAGACGAGTCAAGAAACACAACTTCCAAAACTACAATGTGTTTTCCTGGATCCTCTTGGATTTGCTCAGTATGATCCTGTTCTCCTGAAAAGCAATTAGGCAAGGAATCAAAACTGGGATAATGGATGGAATTGGAAATGTAAGATTTGTGAAAGCAACAGGTTCAGCTTCAGGGAAAGAGGACGGGTTTGGTGGTGCAAGGAACAGTTCCCATCTCCCCAGCACCGAGAGAAAATACCAGGAGCATGGACACCTTTGAGAAACAGAACAGCTCACAGGGCACAGCCTGTTTCACCAACCTCAGATCATCACAGAAGTATGCAAAAGAAGGGGGGACACTTATGCCAAATTGGTGGTCACTGGAAACAGCCTTTCAGGAGGAGACACACAGCTCCTCCATTTGTACACCAGGGAACTTCAACGTGAGTTGGTCGATCTCAGACCTCAAAGACTACCTGTGAGTGGGCAAGAACATAACTCAGTGAAGCAAACTGTTTTCCAAGAGGCTTAACTTCCCTCTAGAAAGACAGAAACCTCCCTCAAGAATATTCAGGGGACTACAAACCAGAGGGTTAAACCCCACAGCTTAAGTAGATGTTAGAATATAAACAGGTCAGTGGTACAGGCAATCCAGACAGACCACAGAGAGATGGACAGCCAGAACAACAGCTGAAGTGTTGGCTCTGCCAAGTGACAAACTCACTTATTCTCAACATCACATCACATATCTGCACTTTTACAGTAACAATCTGGAGCTGCAGAGAGAAACGTGTGTTGTTGCCCACCCAGAAGGGACAAAGCACACAGTCTCGCAGTGGAACCTCTCCTGCTCTCACTGGAACTGAGCTGGAGGGACACACACACTGCAGCTCAGTCTCCGAAAGGAAGTTCATCTGGGGGAAAGCAAGGTGAATGGAAAGGGAAAAGAGGCTAACCGAGTTCCTGCTCCAGAACAGGAGCACTTTACTCCAGCTTCACCCTAAAACATGAGGAATCACGTAAGCGAAGCAGGATAAACAGAAGGAGTTAATAAAAAGCTATTCCAGAACACATCCTGGAGACAAGCACAAGGTCTCCAGATTGTGGTCATTACAGAATTCCCCACTCACGTCACCAAGGCTTTCTTTCTATCTGACCTTGGTCTGAGGCTCTGGTAATCTCCACATAGCAATGGTCTTTCTAATGTGTGAAATAACTCTGATTAGGGATTAACAGCAAACCAGTTTGAATCAACCTCACTTCGCCTCTCGATCATGTTGCAAATTGTTTTTCCTTCCCTCTTTCCTCCTCTTCGTTATGAGCAACACAACATTGCTTAATGCAGAAAAGTACCATTTCCTTTCCATAAAAACAGAGAAAACAAGAATCTGCCAAAGTGGGACGGGCAGGTTCTCTTCATCCGGCACGCTCAGGCTGACACAGGGGCCAGCGCTGCCCGGGGTGTATTCGCTTGAGGGCAGAGTGATGAGTGGATGTGGGTTCAAGCTCCTGACCTGACACCCAGCTGCTCAAACTGGCATGTTAGGCAGTTATTTACTTTCCTTTCCCTGGCATCATGCTAACCTGTCTGCTTCCTTTTTGAAGTAAGCGGCCCGGGGGCAGAAACACCTCATCCAAGAACTCTCCAGTGCTCACACAGCTGCAGGGTTTGTTCCCTGCCCCGCTGGATGCACTCTGAAGCAAAGCAATGAGCCCCAGTCACCTCAATCAGGCAGCAGCTCTCCTATTTCACCCTAAACTGTATAAAACCCATGAGCTAGAGTTGGTGCTTTTATTTCCTCTATTGAGGAACGGCTCTTCTGCAGCAGAGACTCAGTAAAGCTTTTACCTCTTTGCTATTCTTCCTGAATTTTCTGCATGGATGGGATACTTCTGAGGTGGGAGAAAGATCCAGAAGGAGCAGCTGCTCATGCAGAGCCACTGCAACTCTCCAACCATCTTCCTCCCCTTTACCACAGGCAGCGTGACCACCTCACAGGAACCTGAGAGGAGAAGGGTACAAACATCTATGCAAGCCATCAAGTGCTCTAGACAAGCACTATTCATCTGTTGGATGAATCAGATGTCAACCGTGTGAGGTATTTCACCGAAGCCAACATGTCCTGTCCTGCCCCTGCCCAGCCACAAGTTCCTGTAGGAACTTGAAGCAAGGAACAGACCCCAAGTCCAACATCCAGGTCCCATCCTTAACCAAACACTGAAGCTTCTCCCCCAGAGATGTTGCTCTAAATGGGATTAAGTCAGATCCTACGTGTGTTTATTTGACTATAACCAGAAAGTAAACCTCTTAAACGGTGTGGACAAAAGCAGGAAATCCCTCCCACTGACTAAACATACAATCAAAGCCTCCAGAAGTTGATTAATTCTAATTTTTCCCATGTACTGGGATGATTGACTTGGAGCTTGCACTGTACCTGTGTTGTCTTAAACAACCACTGCAGGTCCTCAGCTCCGCTGATGAGCCAGGTGCTGTAAAAGCACACAGGAGAGAGTCCAGGCTCTCAAACACTTGCCCTGAAAAGGGACCATGCTGACAACAGGACAGGGGGAACAGGTCCAGGTCAAGCAGCAAAACCAGACACAGATCCATGGCCTCCTGACTCCAAGTCCAAGGCCTTGTTCTCCCCAGGACCCGGCTTCAGTGCGCTTGAGCCCAGAAACCCCACCCCGTGTGCTGGGCTGATCCCCAGAGCGTGAGCAGCAGCTCAGGGAGGGGATCCTGCCCCTCTGCTGTGCTCTGGAGAGACCCCCCTGCAGCCCTGATCCAGCTCTGGGGCAGCAGCACAAGAGGGATGTGGAGCTCTTGGAGCGAGTGCAGAGGAGGCCATGGGGATGCTGCGAGGGCTGGAGCAGCTCTGCTCTGGAGCCAGGCTGAGAGAGCTGGGCTGGGGCAGCCTGGAGAAGAGAAGGCTCCTGAAGGGGAGACCTGAGAGCAGCTCCAGTGCCTGAAGGGGCTGCAGGAAAGCTGGAGAGGGGCTTGGGACAAGGGATGTAGGGACAGGCCAAGGGGAATGGCTTTAACCTGCCAGAGGGGAGACTGAGCTGAGCTCTGAGGCAGAAGCTCTTCCCTGTGAGGGTGCTGAGGTGCTGGCACAGGGTGCCCAGAGAAGCTGTGGCTGCCCCATCCCTGGCAGTGTTCAAGGCCAGGTTGGACACAGGGGCTTGGAGCAAGCTGCTCTAGTGGAAGGGGTCCCTGCCTGTGGCAGTGGTTGGAGCTGGGTGAGCTTTAAGGTCCCTTCCCATGAAACCATTCTATGACTGGCCCCAGGTCAGAGCATGAACACACACTGAGTTGGACTCTCCTGGTTTACCACACCGCACTACGTGTAAAATAGTAGTATTTAGGCACAGAGCTCTGCTGTGCAACCCAGCTAACTTGTGAATCATACCAGCGCTGCTGATTTCTGGCATCAAACTCACAGGACAGCTGCACATTGTCTGGGGAAGATATCAGGCTAAAAATAGATTAGACTTAGATTAAAGCCTTCCCAAGGCAGACTGGTGGACGAAACAGAATGAGCAGACCACAGCTCCACTGCTATTCTTAGATAGACAAAACCAGGCCCTCCTTTTGCTTGCTGAAGTTTTCAATCCCCAGTGTCCCCACGTATTCTGGCCAAAAATTCCCAGCATAAATCCAAGCAAATTTACAGCTTTTCTGACATGTGTTTTGCTTTCCAAGGCATCCTATGTAGAAAAGCTAAAATTGCACAAGAGCATTTGCCTGTGTCCCTCTTTGTCCCTGGCCTGCCCCATGCTGAGCTTTGGCACTTGGCAAACTTTATGCCCTCAGAAGAGTTCCCTTTGTCAGGGACAGGGAGTGTTTGGTTTGTACCTTGTAACTATCCTGATGCTTTCAGAAGCACATTATTGTCACAAGAAGACTAGTTCCATCAAGAGAGCTCAGAGAATAAGGACTGAAAGACATGGATTAACTGCTGAAGTAAGGCTAAATGATCCCCAGGTGTCAGGGTGATAAACAGTGTCTGCAGGAATGTCCATCATCATCAAAGAACTTGAACAGGAGAAAGCCTGATGCACGCTGTGATTTCAGCTGCAGCTAAGTCTGACTCGAGAGCACAGAGAATCCTTGCCTCTTTCAAAAAGCAAAGCCAGTGACTTTAGATTGACCCCCGAGACCTGAGACATTCCTGGTGCCATTTCTCTCTGGCTAAAGGCAACAGCTCCCACCTACCCACCCACTGCTGGCTGCTCCATGCTGTCCAAGCACAGCAAAACTGGAGCTTCACCCCGTACCTCATGGTGTCCAGTGAAAGGATGAGAGGAAATGGACACAGACTGGAATACAGTGAGCCAAAGGAGGCCACACAGATGCTGCAAGCTGTGGCTGCTCCATCCCTGGCAGTGCTCAAGGCCAGGCTGGACAGGGCTTAGAGCAAGCTGCTCTAGTGGAAGGTAGGCAGGCAGTTGGAACTGGATGAGCTTTAAGGTCCTTTCCAACCTGATCCATTCCATGATTCTATGAAATCCCATTTAAATGTAAGGACATGTTATTTTTTACAATGAGGCCAATCACACACTGAGAGGAGCTGTCCAGGGAGGCTGTGGAGTCTCCATCCTTGGCAATACTCAGCACCTGACTGGACAAGCTCCTGAGAAACCTGCTCCAGGTGCTGCCCCTGCTCTAGCAGGTAGGTTGGACATGATGATCCCCAATCATCCCATCTCACCCCTGCGGTGCTGTGAAGGCGGCACAGTGGTTAAACACCCAGCACAGGGCTTGTATCAGTTTCCACTACAGCAATTGCACTGACATCAGTGGAATTAATCCTGATTTTCATCTGTACGTGTGGAGGAGAATCATGCTGCTTCGCATGAAAGCCAACTTACGCAGGTGGAAGAATGAAAGACACTCACTGTGGTGCTTTTGTGGCAACCTGCCACATTTTTGTCCCCAGGAAGCCGTGCCAACACATCACTGCCTACCAC